ACGAGTAGTTGCTGACATAACGCTAGAGTCGGTACGAACTTAAAACCCTTACTTTTTACGACTTTAACCCCTAGGTCGCCCCTTACCTCAAATTAAATACAATGCCTTACTTCAACCTGATAGTAGAAAATAACAGGTAGTTAGAAAAGTAAGGTAATACTAAATTTGAAAACAGAGGATTTTAGTAGTCAGTTCATGATACCGTTTTCAGTAAGCCTATTAGCAGCTCTAGCCCACTCTCTTTCTGCCAGGCTGCATATAGGAAGTTAAAAAACACATCAGCATGAAGCAAGAGGATTTATTAAAGAAATTGTTATGCATAATAAGAACCTGATTGTCTGATTGCTCCGTGAATCTACTGAAACTTCTTTATACCAAGGAGTATGTTCAGATGTAGCACGTTTCCGCTTCATGGGTTTCAAAATTTGGTGCTGATGACCAGCATTCACTGGCAATGTCTGCGGGAAAGAAAAATGCTCAATTGCAGCAGAGCTGGGGATAGAATTTGGCTCAAGATTACTGATTGAACTTCGATCGGCAGTTGCAGGTATGACTTGCAGCATAGTATTAAGTGCATGCAAACTACTGGAAGAGTTCCCAATAGTGAAAGATTGTTTGATTGTCTTCATTGCAGCAGCTCTACGTGCATCATACATCTGTAACATCTGCCTGTTTTTTAAGGTTCTGCACTGATTTAACCAGGAAGGTTCCAGCTGAGGACCATTTTGAGTTTGCTCAAGCTTAACAGAATTTGTATTATTGCTGTGAGCACCGCTCTGAGAATCATCCTGACAAAGTGCAAGTACATCCTGAGGAGTCATTTTCCCCACTTGTTGAGATGAAATGCTTCTTTGCAAATCCTCTGGCCCGGAGAATCCTAGCATTCCAGTGTCCCCAGAAGGAACTTGCAGAGCACCTGCACAACTGTCTGCTACTTTCATTCTTTTGAAGGCCCTATTGCTTGGATCTATCTCCACCTGTTTCATGGCCCGCATTTGGTTTAATAGGGAATAGTTCGGATGAGATAAGTTGTTTGGCTTCAAAGATCGGCCAAAGGCTTCGATATCTCTCTGCATAGATACAGAATTTGCAGGAGATCCTCCCAGGATATACTTGTCAATAGATTCTCTACCTTGCGAATCATTCATCTTCTGGACGAGGTCAACATTTCTCAATGGTACTTGCGGAGAGCTTCCCTCTGCACGCTGTTCTTCCGCTTCAGCAGACCCCAGGGAATTCACTGAGCTGGTACCAATCTGGGGAGCCAAATTCCCTCCTCTATTGGAGTATTGATCACTTCGCCTCCCTGGAGCAGAAAACGATGACTCCACAATATTCAACTGATGTGATTGGGAGATATGGGAAGGATTCTTGTCATACTGAGCACCAAAAGGTTGCTGAGGTGGTGGAAAATTAGTCCACATACTGGAGGACATTTTTGAAGACATATCCTGCTGAGCGATGCCAGACACTAATGGCTGAGAAACTGACACTTGCTCCTGGGATGAAACATGATTGGTAAAGATACTTCTCACTGCACCATTGGCATTACTTAATTGGGATTTGCATGCAGGGAGGACACTCTTATCTTGTGTATTGCCTGCCACATCCGGCAAGGAAGCCCCCACAGATTGACCATTTGCAGATCCTCTGTGAGAGTCGCCTTTCTCTGTATGACAGGAAACATGTTTATCAAAAGATACACTAACAGATTGATTTGTTGAGACTTGCTCAGTTGTCCTAACCACATTTGGACTTTTAATCTGACCTCCCATATAGGGAAAACCAGAAAGAGATTCAAATGCTGGAGAAAGGTTTCCTGGCATTAAGTACATAGAAGTTTCATTATTGCTACTTCCTGGAATACCAAATCTATTATTCTTCAACCCTTCCTGGGAGAGGTCAGAAGGTGGAAGTAAGGATTGAGCCTGATGAATTAGATCTTGATTCTTCTCACCAGTGTCAACAGCAGCATGATTTGAATGCGAAGAGCTAACTGCTTGGATAGCGCTCTGAGATGACAAAGAATGGCTTCGGACTGATGCACGTCCAGATGGAGGGCCAAGTTGCAATCCAAAGCCTTGAGGGGCAGAAGACTGACTTCTCTGGTGATGACTAACTGGCTCATCAGACTCATCTGCTTCAGGCATCTCATATGATGCTTTGTGCTCCGAATGACCGAACTGTGCCACAGAACCACACTCTCTCGATTGGTCCACCTTCTGAATAAGTTGTAACATGTTTGGACTGCAAAAACAGAACAGTCTAATTGAAACCAAGGGGAGAATAGCATTGGAAGGTAGTTTATACTTCTCAACTTGACAGTCAACAAGGTTTTCAAGGTATACAGAAAGATATGTACAAAAGAACAAATCGTACAGGATCTATTAAAATGTACCTAATACTAATAATTTCTGAGAATCAGGAAATTAACTACCTAGATTGCGCAACTTTATTAGGTGAATGTAAGTCAAGAGATCTATTGAAAAGCCCAGGAATATTAGATACACCAGATCTGCTCTGCAAATGCACCTCGTGAGAGCCTTTTCCATCCATCAAAACATCAGGCAACTTCCCCTGTAGATCAAGGAACATTCACCTCTTACTGTTGATCAAGGATTTATAGAACTGAGGGCTCTTCAAAAAATACTACATTAAGCACATATATTACCTTTTCTAATTCTGCCCGACTCTGAGGAACCTGACCAAAAACCTTTGATTGTCCATTCAAGGAATTGTGCTGCACTACAGACTGAGAATGAGTAGATTGTTTCATGCTACAAGGAGGATCAGCATCCTCATTCAAGTTTCCCAAGGGATGGTACTGAAACTTCGGAGGCCAAGAATTTTTCAGACCACCCTGATTAGACAACTTCTGCTTCCCCATGAGAAGACACCTAGAATCACTGGCATCTGATAATGCATTTTCCCCAACCCCACCAGCAGAAGAATGAGGGTGTGAGTTAGAGTGATAGCTGTCATTTGAGTTATCCTTCTTATCACTGTTCTCCATCTCATACATTTTAAACTCTTTGTCACCAACATCCGGTGATGAGTGCAAAACCTGGTTGTCTTTCATAACATGACGCTGTAAAACCCCCAAACTTTCACTTACAGTAGATTTAACCAAATCAGCATTTGTCCAGTAATTAGATTGATTATTATTTTGAAGAGATTGTTTGGTTTCTTCAGCACCCTTCATCATACTTGAATTTGGAACTGTGGCAGAGTTATAGAAGCTAAAGACCTCTGAATTCCCCTGCAGACTAGCTACAGATGATCCCGCATGCTCCATACCAACTGCAGAAATACGGCGAGGACTAGATTTCAATGCCACACCAACATGAAAGACTTCGTCTTGGATGCATTTGTTCTGATTGTTGTCCTGCAAACGTTTTGATGAGTTATCACTTGAAATACTTAACGCTGCATCTCCAGATGGTACTGCTGATCCAAGAACACCCCAATTAGCTGAATTCATCCACGGTTGTGTAGCTCCACCAAGCTGGGCTGTCAAATTATCAGAAACCCTTCTTGCAATCATCTCAGGGTCAAGAGGATGTGAAGTATTGCTAAATTTCTGGCTTGCTTCAGCAACTGATGTCTGCAGTGGACCAAAATCTGACGACTTGCTTCCTCCATCTGATGACTGGGCAAGTCTTAGAGAATTCCTTTGCATATTCTGGCCTCGCTCATACGGAAACCTGTGCTCCTGGACGTTGTGAAAGCTGTTGTTCATATTGGTGCTATCACAGGGCTGAACAGAAAAATTCAAGGAAGGGGCTAGGGGCAATTTGTCTTCAGCAGAAGATGCTTTATGTCTCCCACTGTTGTACATCAAATTATGATTCCCTGAAGAAATTTCAGCACTGTGAAAATTCAAACCACCCCATTCCTCCTGCGGGGCAACATCACTGCTAGAAGCTTCTTCAACAGCAGACTGCATAAGAGCACTCCAAGTACCACCTTGGAGAGAAGGAAATCCGGTCAGTAATCCTGCACTATCAAAAAGATTACCACCTTCCTCATTCCTATTAGGGCTTTTGGAGAAGGCATTCCATATATTATCATCTGAACCGAACAAAATTCTTTCTTCTGTAGGATCTAAACCAACTTTATTCTCTGGTGAAGAAGTTGGTGCCACTTTCTCCTGCGAGGTCTCTGAGGGATTGGTCAGATCCAGTCTGCCGCAGAAATCCTGGAGAGCTGAACCTTTTTGCATAATATTTGCTTGCTGAAGGTTCTTGATATTGATCGCATTAGATTGAGCTTGACTTACAGTATGACCAAATAAACTTTCACCTTGTAATCCCTGTCTAGGAATGGAAGTCCCATCCGGCCCACTGACTTGATCTGACAATGCAGCACATTCATTACCCGGAAATGAACCAGTAAAGGTTGGCATTGGCTGCACTGCAGGCTTCTTTGTTCCCATCTGTAGAAATTGGTTCAAGCTTCCTCTTGAATCGGAAACAGGAGTTCCATATAGAGACTGATCAATGTGTTGAGGAATCAAACCCATCAAATGTTGTGCAGCTTGGCCATAATTTGTGGGATTGAATCCGTTTGAGGATCCTTGAAGAACTGGAGAACCACGTTGCAACCAATTAGTGTTGCCAATCTCAGTTGCGAGCGCATAATTTGCTGCACCGGGATTTGTAGTGCCATTAACAGAAGCAGGGGAATGGCTAGTAGATGCCACCTTAGCAAGGGGAGGAGCCTGATTTAATGCATGTTGTGGACTGGCATCTAGTTGCTGTTGCCTCTGAAATTCTTGCATCTTCATGAACATGACTTGCTGTTGCAGTTGCTGCATTTCGTTAAGCCCAGACTGCTGCCGTTGCAAAGATTGCAGCATGTTTGATTGCTGACGGTTCATTTGCTGACCACCAAAAAGATCAAAACTAATAGGACCTCCAGAAGGTTCTGACCTGACTGGTCCCCTTGCCTGCTGCTCAAGACCCACCCCTCGCTGCAATTCATGAAAAGATGAGGCACCGGAGGCTAGATTACACTGATTAGAACCTGTATTCACAGCCAGAAATCTGGATTCATCCTGCTTTGTCTGGTAATACTGATTACCATACATGTTTCCATTCAAGTTTGGCTGCTGACTTTGTGACTGACTTTTAGCAAACTCAGTCCATGGGGTTGATTGTGCAGATTCCAAGCCATGCTGCACATTAAATGGATAACTGCTACCTGCTCTCGTAGTTTCTGCAAACAAAGGAAAGTAAGAAAATCGCCCAACAAGCTACTTGGCTGCCAAATAAAGTTTAGAGAACATATCAAATTACCAGAGTTCTGTAAATTGTATGTGTTGGAACTCAGTCCACCTGTCTGTCTCTGGCTTCCAACCCCCAAAATATTACTTAGTGCTGAAAAATTCCCATCCACTACCGGGGAATGCTGTTCTCCTTGTGACAAGCTGTCTTGTGCGAAAAAATTGTGAACCCTATCTCTGACTTCATTGCCAGGCATAGATAATTTAAGTCCCAAACCTTTGATTGTTAAATGTTGCTATACAATTACTAACATAGCAAGATATCAATAAACTCAACCTTTTCTCTATCTAGCATTGCAATGTAAATTCCAGAACTTATACATAATAACTTGGATCACTATTCTTAGAAGCTAAGAATCAGCTGCCTCCTCGACAACTGCAAAAACCTGCAAGACATTCATCCAAGTTCAGTTGGGTGAAAGTAGAAACATATTAAGTGGCAACAAGATATTAGCTGAGATGACAAAGAAAAGGCATACAGTACTACTTGAAGATTCACACTTAGTTTGATGGAATTGCTTCAATACACAACTAAAATTTATATAAACATGCAGATACATATAATCCGTAGAATACATAATCAATGGCTAGTACATGTTAATTATCAACAGCATTGAAGCTCGCACCTTCTCCTCAGTCAGTAATCACAGAAGAGAGCCTATAGTTGACCAAGTGGACATGACATAGACAAAAGAAAGACCAGCAATGGCTATAAAGAGTATAAAAAAAAGGCATCCGCGATAACAAGTGCACGGTAAATTCGCCAAGACAAGGCAGTTCAAATTTCAAACACATTGGTGCATACCACACTTGTTTCCATCCGGTAAAAGAAAAGGCGGGCGGGCGGGGTTGTAACATGCAAACTAAACTGGATCTGCCATTTTTCTCAAGAATGAGAAGCATCAGAATATCTAGTGCTTTGACTTAAGCGGGCATTTCCTTTGGATTGCATCAGTCAAGGTAAAACTGCTGGCATAACCTCAGATTGACCTTACACAAGCTCATTACCAGAATCAGGACAAGTGCTGAATATGTCATAGTTTATGGTCAAGTTAAAAAGCTATCCCACTGGTTAATGAATAAAACCTTACTTGTCGTACTGATTTCTTATTTACCTAGGGCAAGCCATCTCACCAACCCAATAACATGCAACTGTATAAAATTTGGTTAATAAATCGTCATCAGTCATTTGTTCAAAGAGGTGACATGGTCACCCACACTTTCTCAAAACTAGGGCTAGTGCGATGATGCTATTCATCTAAGAAAGTCCTCACCCGCCCGCTCGATGTCAAAATGCTTCAAAGCAGACATAGATTACAAGCTTTGACCCTCACTTCCAAAACTAGGGCTAGTATGATGAGCAACTCAAAATGCTGTTGTGCCCACTGGGGATATCTTTCATTGGTCTATATTTACCCAGAGGAGAAAAACTTTGATTCTTCCCGAAGGTGTTCCTTGCATGCTGAAGTGAACAGGGGCGGTACCAACTACGACTAGAAAGCGGTCACTCCTGTCAATGAATACCATTCATAGTTGTCTATGTTAGTAACATAGCCATAACGACTTTGTTTTACTGCTTGAGGTGGTGATAGCTTTTATATATTTGCTTAATTATAAGCTTGCATAGTGCTCTTCCTATTTGTTTTCTCGGCTTTCTTCTGCCGAACCGAACGAGGACCAGTTAAAGGGCTGACTCCTGGATCGTCGTTACCTTTGTTGATGAAAGGAATGAAATCTTGTTGAGAATAAAGAAAAGTCAGGATCTTCCTCTTAACAAAGGAGAGACCTAAAATCCATCGACAGGGTCCTTTACTAAACTGTCAAGGAACACATTTCCTCCAAAGTTTGGCAAACGCCAGTTCTCCTTCTGGAATAAATCATTCAGATATATCAATCAGAACTAACTACTTTCCAATTCCTAGTCAGTTTCCGAATGTAAAAGCATGTACTGGTAAGTGATAACAGTGACTTACTAACAACAGATTATTATGTTGTTTACAATATTTATATGTATAGTTTTATGTTGTTGACTATGATCGGGCAACAGGTTTGGATGGAAACAAAGCTGGACTTTTGTGTCCAACTTTGCAAAAAGTATATATACTAACGTTAATCAGCTCCAACAACAACTACTACCTCAATGCCCAACTAGATGGGCCCAACTTCCTGAAACTTCGATATCCATTTCTCTTCATTTTCGTCCGTTTCATTCAACTAAAAAACTAACGATGTTAATTGCCGAGCCTGAGAAGAGCAGTCAATTGTAAAAGGCACCATTTTTACAATTCGCCAGTACCATCTGAAAGACTTAGGTGACATCTAAATACAGATTACAGAGATTAAATATAAAAATGACAAAATTATAGTTCAAGCTGTTTATTCACTGTAAATTAGACTGAAAAGCTAAAATCCCAAATCCACATAGAGAGACTAGGGCTCGTGATAATACACGGAACGGAATTTTGACAAAAATACACTTACAACAAATCCCGAAGCTGCACCAACTGAGCTTGGAACGGATCCTCTGGCTATCCGAATTGTAAGTTTTTGAATCGCCGATAGAAATGGCAATTGCGCAGAGAGAGAAGCTACAGTGAAAGAAGCTGAAGAGGGAGAAAAAAGGAAGAGAGAGAGAGAGAGAGCGACAGAAATGGAGAGAGATAAACTGAGTGCGTAATTTTCAACGAACTGTTGAGCGTGGTTAGGTTCGGGTCGAGAATGAGCCCCGGATCCAAATCCGATCCGGCTCCGAATCCGGGTTTCGGAGCTTTGTGTTCTGATTGGTAAGTTCTCAGGTAGGTCATTGAACTTTTGGCATAAGGAGTATGTGGGCCCCGCTGTGTTATTTGGGGTTCCTTTTCCCGAATAATCCAATTGAAAGTACCTTAAAGCATAATTCAAAGTATAGTTTGTCCTTAAATTTTCCCTCCAAAAAATGTCTATGCTCGCTGGATATATGGAAAAAATTCATAAAGTCGACAACCTTTATTGAGTTTATTATATTAGTTGTAAGTCTGTGAAATCTGCATTTTAATCTCCTGCTATATATCTGCATGAGAGTGCGTGCAATAAATACTTGCAATTATTATATCTCAGGCTCTATATCATTTATTGTGTGTTGGGTGAAATCAAAAGATATATAATAACAAAATATTTATGAATATTTAACTTTTTTATGGTGTCGTACTGGTTAAAAATAAGTCAGTTGATATAAGGAATGTAAAATGCATTAAATCTCACGAATGGCAACAACAACTATCTTACAAACACATGTAACAATTAATCATACCATTGAATTATAACTACAGTAACTGGCCATAATGAAAAAAAGTTGAACGCTCATATATGAATTAGAGGCAACATTAACATTAGATTCAAAATAACTTGCTTTAAAATATAGGGAATGGAATATATAAAACACATTGAAGTGAAAGTATAAAACTCATATAGAATTTTGGATAGGAAAAATTGATTCGAGGCATATGCTATGAGACATGGTGTCTTCAGCATAGAATTTGTTGTTGCTTATAACAAAGTGGCATACTACTCTCAACTCTCAACGTATGATGAATCATTAGGAATCTTTAGCATGCATTTTGAAATTATGTGAAATGAGAAAGAGCCGATTGATAAATAAAAAAAAAAATCAAGTCTTGATTTTATGTAATGGGATAAGTATTTATAGGTAGTGAACAAGTAATTAAAGTTTTGCTAAAACAAAAGAAACAATTAACGTGCATTATTCTACGAATAAAAGTACCATTTAATGGTTGGATCACGTCATTTAATAAGAATAGATGTATCGTTTAAATAGTGAATTACGCCTTTTTTGAAAATACAATGTATTTTCAACAATAAACTTATTAAATTACGAATCTAAAAAAGATTTCAATCATCTGTATAATCATGTAAATCACTAATGCTCCCTTTTCTAGAAAATAATGGTTATGTACTCGTTTTATATATTCTGACGAACTTTTGATTCATGGATAAGTGAACTAAACTTTGGCAGTTGTAGTGATTTTACCATGTGAAAAAATATATATATAAAAAAAATTGTCTCTATGGTTTTGCAAGTTAAAATAGTTCCTTAAATGTATTTCTGATAAAATTTTATCCTTCTGTCATGGTGAGTCTTTTGATTTTTGTAATATTTAATAAACTTTAGTTCTTAGATTTAATTGAGCCGTAGAAAAAAGAAGATTTAACTAAAAACGCTAGGACGAATCTATCAATCATCAAATGCCCAAGACACAAAACAAATAAAAAAGTACAGAAATTGCTCCTCAAAAATTTGCGTAAAATACTAAAACAGAAATAATAGAAATCAAAGAATGCACCTTTAAATGTTAGTTACCGTTAATTATTTTTCATAATTTTCTTTAAATCTAACAACCAGAATATCGTTAAATATTTGCAAAATTAAAGGACTAAAATTGCTTAACGGTATATTTAAGGGACTATTTTAAACCTAACTCCAAATATAAATACCATTTATCATGAATATGAGAGCAATGACTAAAAAAAATATTAAAATGAAAAGAAAACTATCTTATTACAGAATGGGACGGATATTGAAATATGCTAAAATGAGATAAGTATTTTATAGAGAGCGAATAAATAATTAACGTATTGCTAAAAAACAAAAAAAGCAATTAAAGTGCATTTCCACGAATAGATGTACTATTTAACGGTTGGATCACATCTTTTCATAAAGAAAGATGTACCGCTTAAATAGTGAACGATGCCTTTTCCTAAAATGCAATATACTTTGAAAAAAAAACATATTAAATTACAAATTTCAAAAAATAAATTCCAAACATCTATATAGTCATGTAAATTGTTGATGCTCCCTTTTTTTGAAAATAATGGTTATGTACTCGTTTTATATATTCTGATGAACTTTTGGTTAATGGAGAAGTGAACTAAGCATTGCGGCAATTACAATAATTTACCATGTAAAAAAAAATTTAAAAAATGGTCTCTTATGGATGTGCAGGTCAAAATAGCTCCTTAAATGTACTCTAATAAAATTTATCCTTTAAATTTGTCATAGTGAGTCTTTTGATTTTTGTGATATTTAATAAACACTAGTCGTAGGGTATGCGTTTTGCGTGTGTACCCTATATCAATGAGTATATAATCTTAAAAAAATTTGTCTACATAATTTCTCATATTTGTTTCTTTATTAATTATTTTTCTTTATTTGTTTATTACAATTAGTTATGTTTACTATTTTAATTTTTCTAAAAAATTATACCTCGTAATCTTAAAAAGAATAAGTCATCCTCAAACTTGTCTTATAATGAGTGATATCATTAAAGTTGAACTTTATTAGTTGATCGGGTTATATGCAAACTTAACTATGTTAAAATGATAGATTACTTTTTAATATTTAAAAATATTCTTATTTTTCAACCTTTATTTTTTTGTGATTCCATGTAGTCGCTCATCTTTTTTATTTTTTATTTTCTTCATTTAGCATAACTGTGCTATTATTCTAGTTTTGAAACAACTCCTCCGAATATTAGAAATCATGAATCATTAATAAACTTAGCATATAATGAGTGATGTCATTAAAGTAGAATCACTATTGAATGAGGTTATAAACTTATGTTTTCCTTTTCTTTTGAAGTATATTTACTTAAATTATGTTGAAACTTATTTTATGTTATGTTTAATTTTACATAAGAGTATTATGTTAATTATTTTTTTGAATTTCGAATTTATGTTATATTTTTCCTTATATTTTATTTGCTTTAGTACTATTCACTTATTAATTCAGATTGCATGCCATTCAATTTTCAGTTAGAATCGATAAATTACTTGTTTGTCAAATATTTGAGTAATGTTACAACATTATATTTGTTAATAATAATCATTTTAGCAAGGATATAGTCCATGACGTTCTTACAAATACGTACTTTTAGTTTAATAATTGATTAAAATAAAGTATTATTAATCTAAAAAATATATATCAATTATTTTTATATATTAGTTACAAATATATGATTAGTAATTAATATATTTTCAAGAAACAAAATTAATTATTTATAAAGGCATATATTTGTTAAATCATAACTTTTAATTTTTGACAATTAACTTTATATTTAAATTTAATCTAACTATGTAATTACGCTTGTCAGCCAAATAGTACACTTGTAATTATAGTGTAGTTACATTATGACAAACATGTCTTGTAATTACAGTACTTTATAATTACTACCCTAATAATTACGTCAATTTCAATTATATGGTGGCTTTCCAAATAGAACCTGAGTAAATATTTTCAAGTTGATCTCAATCCCGAAAGGTAAAGTATTGGACAAGCTATTCCGCATCTAACAAGATTAATGAGATAACTATACTAAAATACTACTTTATAGATTGGAAAACTATAATTACTTTGTGCATTTTAATAACGAAACAACTTTTACAAATAAATTCTTACTCATTTTTAAAATTTTAAATATTAGAAGTTCTTACATAGTTTAAATAAAAAGATTTATTAATAATTTTTAAAATTTTAAAGTCTTAATACTAAAAAAATATTTAAATGACAAATGGTCTTTTATTAATTTCAAAGTTCTAAAGTTCTCTTGTTGAAAAAAACTCTTATTTTATTTTTTCTTTCAAAGTTCTAAAGTTTTCTTGTTGAAAAAAACTCTTATTTTATTTTTTCTAAGTAAAGTAAATAATAATTGCATACAAATTATGAGAAATGCATGTGCTGACTGTTGCCCAAATTAAGCAAAAAGATAGCGGACAATATTAGGAACAATCTTAGTTAGTGTTTTAGATATTAAGCCTTTCTACACAGAATGATTTAATAAAAAAAATTTATTGTTATTATTTTGCCTTTACAAATATGTTATATTATATAATTTAAATAAGGAAGGAATCAGTACATAAATTTAGTTGATTTTGAAATCCTAAAAGATCGGAAGAGCAC